TGTAGGTAGGGCAATGCCCACTTTTGGTGTAGGTCAAGATTTCTGGAAACCCCCGAAATCTGGGTTAGCCCGATTGTCCTTAACAGCGATCAATTGTAAAATCTGGTGTAATGTGGGTTGTAGGAGCTCTGATTAAGTTGGGTTTTTTCCCTTGGATCAAGAAAACTACTATTCACTTGCTGGATACTTTCTACTGAATTAAATCCTGGTTTTAAAGGTAAAAATGTAGCTGCTTTTTTTTTTCATATTGTGACTTATGCACTGGAACATTGGTTGATGTAAATTTATCATCATATGTTGGACCCTGCTAACTTGGAAACTGCCAAGTTTTCATAGAACTGACTGGTCTTGCAGAGGATAGTAATGTGCGGCAGAACTGTTGAAAATCGCATTTATTTTCCTTTCATTTCTTACTTATGATTTCACTCTTTTTACTGTTCATACAAAGGAAAAAATCAGATTGTAGCTTTGGGGGCTCTCCTGGCCTAGAGGTTAAGGTGTTCGCCTCTCATTCAAAGGTCCCGGGTTGGAATCGGAGTAACGCCAAAAAAAGTATTGTCTCTAAAATTGTCTCCTTTCATATCCTTTCCTGCTTTCTTGCAATGTTCTGTCGTCTGCTTTCGTCTCCACTTTCTGCTCCCACCCCTTCACCTCCTTTACGTCTTTCTACAGCCTTTCTACTGCTACTCCTTGGCTCTTTCTTACTGCTGTCTTTCAGCCACACCCCTGATCTTATTGTAGGAAAGATCTACACCTTGCCTTCCCGGACACGGGCAAAAAATCTTAGAGGTCTTGTGTGCAAATAGCGCACTTTAAAGATCCCTTGGTGGTCTAAAATCGAAAAGAGAAGGCTTTGGCCGCCACCCGTGCAAAATTCAAAATTTTCTACCAATTAAAAATGTTTGGCGTGCCCCGCGTGCTCATATTTAATTACCCTATGCAGTTACGAGCACTGTAAAATACTTGCCGAAAAAATTAATAATATACATAAATTAATAAATAATTGTAGCTTTGCCAGGTGATTCAAATCATTCTGATATAATTCTGCTTACTTCCTGTTACAACAGTGAGAAGCATTATATTTACACATCATAGCGTAAAAGTTAAGATTATGTCACAATTTTTTTCATAGTTGCTCATTTCATGATGGCTACCACTAGGCATTGTCAGATCCACCCTGAAAGATATGTATCTTTGTTCATGTAGATATGAATGCTTGGGGTTTTTTTGAAGGGAGGTGGTTGGTTGTTGTTTCTAGGAATGTTTAAAACTTCTGGGTTGAGTTTGAAAGTGCTTATAAAGACATTTTTCAAAACGGAAATCAAGATATAGGTAAATCAGATTATCTGGCATTGTCTGTTTAAATAAACTTTTATAAAAAATGTATCTATTTCTTGGGTAATTCACTTCATGTTTTTCATCTCACTGCCAATGTCCTTTACAGTGAGGAATCGGATCTTGAAGAAGTAAGCCTGATTCAGGAGGTGCCAGATTCCCAGACTGTCTGTGAGACTCAGTGGTCAGTATTGTCCCCAACAGCTGAGTCACAGGCAGAGAAACTATCTCAAGCAAAGCAGCAATGGGCAGACAAGTCGTCATGTAAGGTGTCACAAACAGACGTAAGAGAAGCGGTCTCTAGCGATGAGATGTCAGGACACAACAACAGCTCTGTCAAGGTTTTTTTCTTGTTTTCTTGTTTTTTCTTGTGTTCAGGGCTAGAAGTTTTTCAGCATTTCCTGAAGGAAAAAAAAACAAAAAACATGAGCAGTGATATTCAGTCTGTTCAAAAGGTGGTATTAAGTGTAAAATTTAACTATTAACTCCCTCCTGATTCTTTAACTTACTTCAACCTTAGGTATTTTCCACCCAACAGCCATTGTTTTTTGGTATATTAAAAAATGGTGTTCTGGAGACAAATTATGAAAATTGGGGTTACTACTTATTATATTTCCTGAGCAAAAACATTTGTAAGCATTAATTTTTCTGTACTCTAGGGTGGTGTTTGAGAGGATTTTAGAGCAACGGGTAGATTTTTAAAGCAAGTAATTGCCACGTTTCTGCCTCCACAAGGCATGTTTTGCACCTCTTATATGCTTCAGTTTTAGTAGGAATCCTCCATCCTATTTCTGCTTTGTTAATATTATCAAGTAGTTGCCATGTTTGATTTCGAAATATGTTTTGAAGGTTTAAAAAAAAAAAGAAAAGAAAACTCTTTTAGCCTTATTTGACCTTTATTGACTGTTTTCTCACTTTACTATTTTTCCCACACATCATCCCATTTTCTGCTCTGTTTTTTATTCGATTTTAATTAAACTTTCAGAGGATATTTACAAGACCAAGTTCTAAAATTTTAATTATGTAGAGGAATTTTTAATGGCATATGTAGGTTTTGATAAATTGACTCAAAAAGCTTAATTTTATCTGGTGGTTTGTCTAGTTATGCAATAAGCTGGAATTTAAGTGACATAAAATTAAAACAAAAGCTAGTACCAAAATGTCCACTAGATGATTTATGGATTTGTAATTTTTCTTCGTACATGCCAAAAAAGTGTATGTTGATAAATAAATGAACAAAACGGGATCAGAATAGGTAAACAAAATCCAATATGGCCCCCGTCTCCATACCAACCAAACCATAGACATGTTTACTTTTTAAAATTTGGTTGATTCCAAATCCCCAGTGAGACATGATGTCCCACATCAAATATGGGATCTTTAAGTTTTGTAATAGCTAAAATAGCCGTACGATGTGGCACCTCCTTTTAAATAGATTTCCATTTTGTGAAAATGAGGGTTGTAGACTAGAACATGTCTTGCAGTTGGGTACATGAAAGCCAAATTTTAAACCTGATTTCTTGTCATTTCCTAGATTTGATTGATTTATCAGTTTGGAGGGGGGGGGGGGGGGGGGTTGCTTGAATAAACAGCTTGCTTTTAGACATGTAATGAATTATCATAACAATATTGATAGTTGCCTTTTTTTGTTCTAATTTGGACTATAGATAGCTTATGCATTCTGATATTGTGTACTAGTCCCATACAAAACGATTAAACCAGTCAAGAATTGTTGAAATATAAAGAATTTAGAGTTCAACTTATGTATTCAGTTGATTCTTTGCTTTTATTTTCTGTTCAGATTTCACGATGGCCCCCATATCATCTGCCTGTTGAGGTAGCAGTAGATCCAAAACGATATGCTCCAGTAATCAAACTCATGTTTGATATTTACCTCTGCCGACTTCACCGTGCCCAGAGGAGACGTCCAGGCCCTCCACCAGTGTGGGGCAAGCCAGTGAAGGCTGGCAACCATGAGCAGGATTGTTTGAAGGTGAAACCAAAGCGCAGAGGACGAGAGCACTTTCAAAGGGTGTTGAAAGCCTCAAAGGATCAAGAAAAGGAAGATGCTCATTCCAACGAAGGTGCAATTACGGAGGAAAATGACTTACTGGCTTCTGAAGGCGGTTACTATGATGAGCCAGTAGATGTGAGGAATCGGAAAAAGATTGTTGGTGTTTGTACATATGATAAGTCAGCACTTGAGCTCAATACGGATAAGTGCACTGGAAATGGAGAATTTGAGTTTCATGGATCTAGTAGTGATGTGGAACAAAAAGAAGTCCCAGCTCGGAAGGGGTTACGACATAGAGCTACTACGAGCAGAGGTGTTCGTTACAAAGAGTCCAGCTCTCTAGGGGAACAGGAATCTGAGGTCGAGAGAAAAATTCACAAGGAAAAAAGTCCAGATTCTGAGTGGAGGCCAGAGAGTAAAAAGAGATCATCACAAGAGGGTCCTTTGTTCAAGGGAATACGGAATAAAAGCAAAAGAGGTAAAAGAAGACAGCCTAAAGATATTCATGATAAGGAGGAAGAGAGTAACGGCAGAGGTGGTAAAAGACGACAACGTAATGCAGATCTTGATGATGATGAAGTGAATTATGGCAAAGAGGGAAAAGGTCTTCTGTCAAAAGTGGATAATGATGGGGATGAGGATATTCCTCAGCAGCAGCAGGTTGATGTTATGGAGTGGCTGTCTACGAAGAAAGCCATTAAAACGTATGAGAGAGTTCGTCCTAAAAAGCCAAAAACTCAAGCTTGGCGTATGCGGCTCTATGGGAGACTGAACAGGAAACATGCTAAGGAGGCACATGAAAGTTTAGATGATTCAGATGAAGTTGTAGAGATGAATGAGGAAATAGAAGAAGTCACCAAGAACTCAATTGCAGCTGAGCATGTGACCCATAAGGATGTCTCTTTTGCTTTATCCGACGAAGACAGATTTGCCACGGATGAAATTCTTGCAAGTAAAAGGAGAAAGGGCTCTCTTGGAAGAATAGAATCTCATGAGCCACCTAAAAAAGATGAAAATGAGATAAAAGAATCAGGACGAGATAAAAGCAATATCTCCAAGGATGAGTTCACTGCTGTTGACAATGTGCTTGTGCTGGACAATGATATGATTTCTTTACGAGACAAAGATGAATTGAAATTGGCTTCGTTAGTGACTGGTGAAGCCACCAGAGGTGGAGAGGAAATCACAAGTAGTTCTCAGGGAGCCAGTGGCTCTGGTGTCCCTAACAGCCAGAGCTCAAATTATATGATAGACATGAACGGGGACATGTATTGTACTCAAGTTGCTCACAGGACTCGGACTGCACAATGTAATAAGAACCTTGAACAGGCTGTGAAAAAACAGCCTGCGGTCAAGCAAAAGGGGGGTAAAGGTAGACTGAAAGATAATGTGCCCATAAAAGTAGCCAGTGGTGAAGATTCTGACAGTCGAAGCGCATCAGGATCGTCTAAAGAATTAAATGAAGAAGTAGTTCTTGAAAAAGACAGTTCGGATTCAAAATTGGTACCTGTTGTGAACTTGGAGGATTCATACCCAAATGACAAGAATCATGCGAGCAAACCCGAGATCAGAACAGTGACAGTTCCAGAACTTGATGCATCCACAGAAGAAAAGCATCAGAGTAACAAGGGGTTGTCCACTAGAAAACGGAAACTACTTTCAGCAGAAGGGACATTTGTCACGGCTGAGGTTCAACCCACAGAGGGGACAGATGCTGCTATTGGGAGGGAAAAACGACCAAGACAGATGCATCATCAGATGGTTTCCTTAACAGAGCCTGAAACTCCAGTGAGAAGTGTGAGAGCTCGCAGGATAGATCGCAAGACTGAAGTGGTTTCTGGTTTGGGAGACAACACTGATGTTGAGGAGAAAGTGTCAAAAGGCCCTGTGGAGAATGTTGAAGCTGAGAATGTTCTTGGCCCCTCCACTTCAGCGGCAGAAGACTGTCAAGTGCAACAGGCCATCATGTTTTCTGAACAGGAGATGTCAAAAGATGAGGTAATGTTTTTTGTTGTTGCCGTTTTTCGTTTTTTTTTTTAACTTAAATTTTTTCTTTATTGCACTGCCTCTTTGTGATCTTCCATTGTCTTCTCTTCTTATTGCGTTGTTGTTTTCCATCTGCACTACCCTTATATCACTATATTGCTATTGGCATCCTTATTCTTTGAAAACTATTGCTCGTCCCAGCACTCTTATTTTCATGGTATTATTACAAGGTGGCTGCTGCAGTTTTCATTTTTGTTTTGTGTTTTATCAGAACTCTTTCCCGCAGTGTAAGTTGTTGACTCACATATTCTTCTTTAGTATTATACTCATTGTCCTGTGGAAGTGTTGTAATGAAGTGCATTTTTATAGCGCTTACTTCCAGGTACACACAGCTCTTCGTGCTTATCATGAACTTTTTATTCAAACGGATAGTGGGACTTTCGTGTTTGACAAGTTTTTCTTTCTGTACTCACGCATTGACTTCAGGGACAATTTCAGTTGGTGTTTAGTGATACAGATCAATCTCAAATGAAAAAGAACCTTTCGTTTTATGCGGATAGCAGGTATACTTCAGGAAGGTTCAATCTTTTGATTCCGTTTTAGCTTCATGTTTATCTACTTTCTTCTCTTTTGCTGTGCATCATTGCCATAGTACTGATTATGCATGCTTCCCTTTGGTGATGTAAAAATGTAGGTCGATCGCTTATCATTTGTAAGTACATATTATTGTGTTAAGTAAGTTATAATTTTTTTCTGTTCCACACTCATTTTTCTACATGTTTTATATGATGAAAGAGGTGGGAGGTGAAGAGAGCTGTTATTATTTCAATATTGTGTTTCTTCATAATGAAACAGTTAACACACATTACAAAATAACAAAAGAAAAGACAGTTATAATGCTGAGCATCTTCTTGTTTAAAAAGTAGTACGGGTTGGCGGATGCTCTGGTGTGGTTTGCTCTTTCTTTCCCATTAAACATCTATCATCCTTATCTCCCCTTCCTCTTTTTTATGTTTGTTACTCTCTTGTAACACCTAATCTTCTGGCGCTCATATGACCTTATGCAGTTGCGAGCGCCATAAAACCTCTACTAAAACTAAACTAAAAGTACTAAAAGTAGTTCGTCCCTATTGGAGCATAGTATTCTTAGCTATGGCTCTGAAAATAGATTTGTTCTGTATTATGTGCCCTTTCTCTGTGACTCTTACCTCTGCTTGTTCTATCTCAAGTCCTGGCTCCTTTTTGGGCATTCCCTACATTGTCTAGTTACTTACTGTAAAAATGTCCTCAGAACTGTTATATATATATATATATATGCTGACAAATCTTTCAGGTGTTTTATTTATTTATCTTTAATTTTATTGTTTTATTTATTTATTTTTGGGGGTATTGCCTGCTTTCAGGGATGGTGCCCATTGTGTAACAAGATGTTCCCTCAAAAAGACCTGGAAGAACATGCTTCAACCTGTGGAGAAGGTAATCTGTGTGTCTGTTGCCCACATGGTTGTTGTTCTTGTTAAAAGACATTCCTACTTCAAAACTTGGTTTTCATTAACTCTTCTCAGCCAGAAATGATTTCATGGATTTGCCTTAACAGCCAGAAATAAATCTATGCTGTCATTGTGAAATCTTGTTAATTTTTATCGTATCAAGACAAAATTGTTATAATTAAGATCAATCTAAAATTAACAGTTGGCAACCTGAGAGAAACGTGGATAGTGAGATTAATTGCTGAAAAGCAGGTTTATTGTAGTTGGATTTTAATAACAATTTTGAGCGAGGAAAGGGATTTGGACTCTAGGTCTAAAATTATGAGTGATAAAACGTACTACTGTTTGAAAATACGTCTTCAAGTTGTGAATTCTCTAAAGGAAAGGGAGTATCTTTGTATCTATTTTTAACTTAATAATCATAATAATAATGAAGATAATTTCTATAGCGCCCACTCTCATGTAAACACAGCTCTAGGCGCTTTACATAAATGCATGTACAAACAATATTCACGCATGCGACACACGCACAATAACACACAAACACACACACACTCACTCACGCACACATGTGCACATACATGCACGCCAAACACACACACTCACATCTACTTGCTTTTCACACACGCCTGCTTACACATGAGGTTACGAAATGAGCACATACACACATATATATATATATATATATATATATAAAATAAAATAATATACACAATGCAATTCGCGAAATACATAAATGGATATACAGTCATTTACATAACTTATCCTGTGTTATAAACATGGATTTGGAGGACTGGACGGAAATGTGTATTAAATCAGGGGAGGTGAAAATGACGCACTCTGTCATTCTGAGGGATGGAGGTAAATGGAAAAGACACGGAACGTGTCGTTCTGGCCTATAGGAGTAAAGTTATGGTAGGGTTTTATGTTTTGACAGTAATTTGAGTAATGATTAATGTTTTACTGTTACTGTTAGTGTTTCTAGTTTCTACTGTTTGTCTTTTTCTTTCTTTGTTTTTCCAGTCCAAGTGCACTTGCTCCAGGCAGCCAATGCTAAATCCTCTTTCAATTTCTTCATAGGTCTATGACAAAAAGGAACAGAAAAATGTATCCCTTTTATTCTGCATGACAAAAAGGAACAGAAAAATGTATCCCTTTTATTCTGCATGGCAAAAGGAACAGAAAAAATCTCTTCCTGTCTTTCTGTGCCACATGGTCAAATGCCCAGTTAATTTTATACCCCCGTCCGTCTGTTCGTTTTGATGTTCAGAGCTTCAAGTACTCCATACAATGAGTGAGTCATATATATTTGGTGCCTCTCTAATAAAGTACAAAACTTTCCTTCAGCAAGTATTGTATTTCCCTCTGATCCCTCTTTACTTTGAATTGACTATATATTTACTGTTGCTCTCATTTTAATTTTTCAGAGCCTGCCCCTGAGCCACTTCATGAGAGGTGAGTTTGTTTGCTGGATAAATTTGTCATTCTAGCAAAGCATCTTTAAGAGTCATATTCCTGCGCCTCTCTCTTGTAATTGTACAGTGGACTAAGGATGAGTTTATGTCGTTAGGGAATTAAAAATCAACTCATCCCAAGTTAAACTGAAATGTCTGAGTCATAAGTTAAGGGACATAACAAAAGCCTATACCCCCTCAGATTATTTAATTTTAGTTCAGTCAAACCTCGTTATACCGCCAGGTTTTGCCAATGTGCGAAAAGGAATGCCTATATATAAATATAGTATTTGTGCCTTTACACTGCTGTCCTCCAACTGTCTGATTTGTACAGTCCCTATTAAACTAATATCAAATTTGCCCCATTATACCGCCAGTGGCAGTGAACTGGACTCCAGCAGTACACACTACATAAGGCACACAGAACTCACTCAGTGGCTGCTTTATAATCTCTTTCCCCACAGACATCTCTAAGTTCGACTATTTCCAACATTATTTTGTCGTCAATTTGCTCCTGATTTGCACTGATTTTGAAAATGCTATTATTTTTAGACTTTGCCCAGTATTTTTTAAAGTTGGAATTCAATTTTAAAGTCTCCTGGAGAAACTTCAAAGGAACTGTGCTACCTCAGCCTGTCAGCAAATATCTCTCGCTTCCAAATATTAGCCCGATGACCAGAAGGCTGACCCTTGCGGCTATTATTATATTGTGAGGATTCACAATACTACTTGAAATGTCTGGGGTGGTCCGAGGACTAACAAGTGTTGGGTTTTAAAAAATTGTACACCAGCAGAGTCCTTGACACATAATATAGCTTTGCTTCTGATCCAGCAGAAATTTTCAGCTTGAATTTAAGAAAAGATCAGCTGGAGCTGTACATGTGAACATGTAATTGGTTGCCACTAGTTTTCCCCTGAGCATGGCAATCGTGCCTGACAGGTCTAGATGAGTTAACTTAACTGCCAATAACGTCGCCTGTTTCTGAAAAGTCTACTCAAACCCAGGAAATACTGACGCTGAACGAAAGTGCACTAATTTCTAAAAGATACTCTTCCTGTAGTTATTAGAATTATTTTTGAGCCAGAGAAACACAAAAGATCATCCGTTATTTATCTTAAAACTGCCGGTGGCTGCAACTCTGCAAGTTAAGGAAAATGGCTTTGTCAGGTCCTCAGCAGTTTTTGAGATTTCCGGCTTATTTTAGGGTTACGTGACCTTGCTTCAATCTCAAAGTCGTACGTTTTTGCAGCGTATGTTATAGCTTTTTCAAACAGCTTTTTAAATATATATATTTAATATATATAGTTTCCTGGTCTTTGTATTTATCATGTGTACTCATTTCTTACTTCTAAAGGTGCACCCTTGTTCCTAAGACTATATCCTGACACAGTGCAAATTTACCACTGACAGTAATAGGATTAAGACTGACCAGTTTGTCTCTAGTCTCTTCCACTAGTCAAGATAGCAATTGATGCTATTCCATTATACCACCAGCCCCGCTGTACTGACAACTTCATGATCCTCCCAAAGTAGGGGTTATATCGAGGTTTGACTGTACTCTATTTATTCTGTAGATGAAAAGAATGGCTCATTTTCTTCCAGACATTTTTCTAATTTATAGTGGAATAACTCAAACCAGAATTAACTTTCAACAAAAGTTGAACAACACAGTTTGATACCGTTACAGAAGTTAGTATGGCAGAGTGAAGGAGCAAAACACATTTGATTTGTTTCAGTTGTTTTAATGTTGAATGCTGATCTCTCACGGCAGGCCTTTCCAATGAAATACAAATAGCACTGCAACAGAGACCAATTATTACTCATTGTCTTGACATGTGCCATGCCCTTTGGCCTTGAGAGGTTCTCAAACTTAGACTTCCTGGTACTTGAACTGGACATCTATTGGACCGTACAACCATGTATTTGTGCATAAATGTATAGTAACAGCTGACAAAGAGAGAGCTTTGGATTAAAGAGAATCTTTTTTCTTAACATTTTATCTCTCTTTATTCACTCGTATAAAAAATATATTGGAATTACAAGATTCGCAATTAGAAATTTTGGTAGTAGGTAATGATGGTAGAACAGTTTCTCTTCAGCATCTGAAGAAAAGAGCGAATGGACAAGTGATGTGCCAGCCCATGAAACTATGCTTCATCAGTCTTTTTTTTAAAAATGGGGATGACCAATGTGACTCAAGTGTGATGATCAGCCTGTCCCATCATTTCATCTTCCCGGATAACGCAACCGTTTTTTCCCCCCAGTGACCAAAGTGGCCATAATATCAATGAGGAAGTCAAACAAAACATTGAGGCATGCTTTAATATGTTCAGCTCTTTGTTGTGTTTTCTTCTTCCCCCCTCCCCCGGGGCAAAGAATCTGTAATAGAGATAATAAATAGTATAACAAGGGGAGAGGTTATAACTTATACATAATCTTTCAAGTTTGAAGAAGTATAAAAGTTCATGAAGGTTTGTCAGACCCTTTGCCTTATTTTCACTAAACTTCATAAACTTGTCTCTAATTATTTCGAACAAACAAAAGGAAACATGTTTGATTGAGGTTAAAGTTTTAAGCTTGAAATGTCACCGGCATGGACCTACTGTCAAATTATTCATACTTAATTGTCCTATTGCCCAGGTGTATGGTGTGTAATGCAGAGGTTGCTACTGGGAAAATGAGAGTACACCAGATACATTGCAGTAAAGAGTTCTCTGCTGTGTCACCTGCAAGGGTTACTCGCCATCGAACCGGTAAGCCTAATATTTTTATCACTTGTTTCTCTTTTAAAAATTGAATTATTTGTTTTAAGCTTATGTGATCACAAAAGATCCTTGGTGCAAAAATAAGCATTTACAATGAAGTGAGTGCACTGAGAACTCAGGCTCACAGTACTGGTTGTGTCAGACTTGTCTGTGGCGTGTGGTTTTTAAGCGTTGTGTAATGACTTGCTCAAGAATAGGGTGGTGCTGCATGGTTACCACTTACCATATGGTGTTTATAAGATTGCTTGTATTGGTTTGAAGTTTTGTATTATAATTATGTTGATGAATTATTGTATGTTATGTATTGTACTTGCCATTGTAAGCCAAATTTCCCCCCTCAAATTTGTAAAAGAAGTACAGTCCGGTACGCATAAAGTGAAACCCGTTCACAGAAGAGATTTTCAAGTCCAAAATTTTTTCCTATAATCATGTATATTCTTTGTATAATTATAAAACTTGCATATTAAATTTTCGTACATAATGAAAAGATTCCAGTGTCCCGCTGATTGCACTATGTACATGCTTCACATTGTGGTTGTTTGTTGGGGGGGTTTATAAAATGTTTAATCGTCTTTTCAATCTGTACAGTTTAAAAGAAATATATCTAACTATTATTTTATAAGAATCACGAAACGAATCGAAGTGTTGAGAGAACATCAATTTTTAATATACTCTCACTTTTTGGGCAATGTGGGAAATTCGGCCCTACCACTCATCCCGATTTAATCTTGATATCCCAATTTTTTGCCCCAAATCTCAAGCATCCCGATTTCGATCTCGTGTGTATCCTGATTTTTTGTTGTAGCATCTGATTTGTAGAAAAAAATTATTTTTAATTCTGCAATCTATTTTGCTTGGAAGCACTGGTTCATGACTTTTTATCGGCAGGAACTTGAGTGCCTTGAGTGTATAGATGCGATCAAAGGCAAGCGTTACCGTATAAAAATGCACACCTTTTACATGGAGATTAGAATTAGGTGTAGTAAGCTATTTTCAAGACTATTAGAGTTTGAGCATCACTCCAACCTGCACTCCCCCTCGATGCTCTCTATCGGTTTTTTTCTTTTACTTTGAGGCCCAAATGTGAACTTTTTCCTACAAAAGTTTTGTCTTGCATGCTTGTCTCATTAAAGGGAATCGGGACTCCCCCTCCCCAGTGCCCCTTAGGGCTTACTGTCGATCCCATTTTTTCACCAGATCCTGATTTTTAATTCTGAAATCCTGATTTTTAGATTTCATGAAGTGGCTGGTCTCGATTTATTGTTTCAATCATTGGCTGGTGAATTTTATTAAAATTATGTACTGTGTTATGATGTATTATATATTAATATTATACTTTGAGATTGCATGCGTGTCCTTGAAAGTTTTCCATCTTGACTTTTTCCTTTTCAGAATTAACCTAAGACATTGCTACCGATTGTTTCAAGTTTATTGATAATGAATAAAAACCGTACAAGTAAAATAGCCTTATTTCTTAAAGACTGGTTTTCTCTCTTTCCCAGCAAATCAGCCCACTACAAGGTTAGTATTAAACTAGCAAGCTTGTGTGACTTATTTAACAAGCTGGTACATTGAGATACTTTTAATTACGTTTAATTTTTCATCCTCTGTTGCTGTTAAGTGTCATGGGGAGATGCAAAGTACACAGCACAGTGAGATACTTGTCTCAATTTGAATGTTTAGTGTAACGTAACTCTGAGTCTAAGGTTATTGTGATCTTTTAATTTTTACCTCCTGAAAGTATACATTGCTAAAATGGTTCCAAATTGAGTCTTTTATGCATTTTCTGTTTGGTCCTTTGATGTGATGTGAATAACAAAGGCTATGTCCAGTCTGTTGACAAGACCTAGTGTGGTTGATTCTTCCTTCATTTTTATTATGTCACTGGTCATGGCTGATAGTGCGGGACAGTCTGAGGTTGGCCATTCCTAGGTTTTTGATTATTTCTTAAGTGCACTGTAAGTTCAGTCTTGTGTCATACCTCACAAATTGAATTGATGGTAATATCAGCTCATGGCTGTTCAGGTTTGCTCTCTAAGATGTGTGCTTAAATCTGGTCTGTTTGTCCTCTCTGAGGTGCCTGATAGGTAGTAAATAGCAGGTTAAGTTGTGTCCACGGGCTGTGGCTACTCCTTGGCCAAAATCTGGATTATACTATAAATTAGGACATAGTCAGCACCCTTAATCTTGTAGTGATACATATCAAGGAGTGGTGGAGAGGGGGGTGACTCACTGGGTCTCGTTCTAGAACTTTCAAAGTTCTTGAAAATATTTTGAATTATATATCATTTTTGGGGGCTCTCTAGGCCTAGAGGTTAAGGTGTTCTCCTCTCATTCAAAGGTCCCGGGTTCGAATCCAGGTAGTGAACGAAAAATGTTCTCTAAAATTGTCTCCTTTCACCTTCTTTCATTCTCTCTTGCAATATTCTGTCGTCTACTTTTGTCTCCACTTTTTTCCCCCACCCCTTGACCTCCTTTGCCCCCCTCCACGGGGCTCCAGACTCTTTCTGCAGCCTTTCTACTGCTACTCCTTGGCTCTTTCTTACTGCTGTCTTTCAACCACACTCCAGATCTTCTGGTAGGAAAGATCTACGCCTAGCCTTCTCGGACAAGGGTGGAAAATCTCTGAGGTCCCGTGTGCAAATTGCGCTCTTTAAAGATCCCTTGGTGGTCCAAAATCGATAATAGTAGACTTCAGCCACCACCCGCATTAAATTTTAAATTTCCTACCAATTAATAATGTTTTGTGTTTCTTGTGCGCTCATATGACCGTATGCAGTTGCAAGCGCCGTAAAACACTTACCAAAAAAAAAAAAATCATGTTTCACACGTTATTGCCCTTTAGTCTGTCGAAATGGCTTTAGAAAGTATTAATAATCACACAACCCAGCCCACTATGTGGCTATTGTTGTTTAGTCTTTAGTGTGTAAATACTTTGAGAAGTTATTTATGTGCTGTCTCTCTTTCTGGTTTGCTTAAAATCAGTCTACCGTTATAGAGTAGGAATATTTTAAAGGTTGAACATTGTCTTTCTTAGCTATTCTGAGATTGCATAATCCTTGAACTGTGTGTTGACCGACACTTTGCGTGGGTGGTTGATGGGTGCTCTGATGGGGTTTGCTCCTTCTTTCATATTTAACAACTATCGTCTACATCTCTCCTCCTTTTTTTATGTTTGTTACTCTACTGTAACACCTCTAATCTTTTGCACTTAAATTGTCGAATTCCTCTCTATGGTGGGCCAAAAATCGCGGGGGGGGGTTCAATTACCCAAATGGAAATACAATAAGGCACAGATAACTCAAACATGTCGGGGACTGACAAATGTGTTCGTCGACATCCATAAGTTAGCTTAACGGATAGCGAAAAATTTGGTGGGAATTTGGCGGGTGCTCTGGTGTAGTTTGCCCCTTCTTTCCTATCAAACATCTATCGTCCTTGTCTCTCCTTTTTTTTGTGTATCTTACTCTCTTGTAACACATCTTTCCTTCGGCACTTACGTGACCTCATTGTGTTGCAAGTGCCGTAAAACTCTTACTAAAAAAACTAAAGGTCACAGAAAAAATTGAGATATATCAGTCAGAGAATGGCAAATTGTACCAGCTATCAATGATTTTTAATTTTCCATGTTTGTGTTATCTGTCTCTTTGTAGCATAAAATCTAACTCTAACCTTGTGTTGTCATTTCAATCAAAATGTAGGTTATAACTTTTTCCCTGTCCAGCTCTGATGATGTGGCCCTGGTGTTTGCTTCTAATAAGGACTGATGCAGTGGTTGAACTGAAGTGGATTATGTTTGAAAGTTGACGACACACATGCCAGCATGGGCAGTACTAATCTGTGAGGAGCATGGAGTTTTGGCCTGAAGGTATAAGCAGGCTCCAATATGATGGCTGAGGATAACAAATGCTTCTATGAGGACAAGAGAGGCACACTTATCAAACATGTTGTTGCAGATTTAGTGCTGGGTGTGTATATACAGTGGAACATGACTATAACGGCACCCACTGCAGCGGGACCTTACCTGAATCCCCTTTTTTTTGTCTATGTAAATTCAATTGCCTGTGCTTTGGTATTACAGAAAAAGGAAAGACCTGAACTTGGTTACAGCAGGAGAGCTCTAGCGAGTGGGTGGGGGCTGTAGGGGGGCTCCAAACAGGCAGTCAGTGGTGTGGCGTTGTGATTGGCCAGTCCAGTGATGAAGTGAGGTGGGGCAGGCAGCACAAAGAGGGATGATGCGGAGAGACACGTTATGTGAGCCACTCCAAAAGTGATGTGCCATAGCATCACCTTTGAACTTTTTTGTCCAAAGTGCCTCTTTACTTAAGTACACTTTGGACAAAATTTATTTAATAGTTGAAGGCCAGGCCAAAAAGTAAAGAAGAGGAGAGCTTTGAATTGCAATCGTTGATGCTCAGGCAACAAGACTGAGGAAAAGATGGCTTCCGACCAAGACAAAAGGAAATGCTTCTCTGAACTCTCACTCGATAAAGGCTGAGATAGTCAACGAAGTTGACAAGAAAAGGAAGACTAATCTAAAGGGCACCTTTTATTGATATGGAAGGGAAGTAATCATATAGATTTTAGAAATTTTTCGGTAATTTCCCTCTGCATTCCTTTAGCCGGAACTCCCCTACAGCAGGATTTTTCTTCTGGAACCCAAAGTCCCGCTATAGCCATGTTCTACTGTATTCAAGGTTCTTTAGATTTTCAGACCTGCTAGCTTTGTCCCTGTCCATTTTTTCTGTCATTGTTTTCACTTTCAGAAAGGAGTTTTTTAAATCTTTTTGTACATGGTAACTTTTGGTTTACGTTCAACACAATGAGATTAGTTTGAGCTATTATTAGATTTTGAGGAGTTTCTTTTATTCATTTTTTAAATTTTTGGGGGATTTTGCATTTAGCACTTAGAATTTGATATAAAGAACTTCTCACAGAGCGTTGATTCATAAGTCTGGTGTTATTCTCAACCAATGCATTTTTCTCTGTTGTTTATGCTTTTCCTTCACTGACATGACTCAAGTTTCTGCAGTGTGTAGAAATTTTGTCTGTCTGTTCTTGGGATTTTCTTTTTTGCAGCATTTTTATACTTCATACGGGGTGCACACTATGGCTGGATCGGGCCGATCGCCCGACTCGATCGTCTGAAACTGAAAACAAACACGTTTGTTTTTGAGGCGATCGGCCTTATCGATCCCATCCGTAGTGGTCACCCCGTATTAGTTACAAGGATTGAACCATGTGTGTCCTGTTGCTTTCTTCACTATTATTGAAGGGTAAAAGAGTAAAGTTACTTTTAATATTGCATTGTGCTTTCTCTTCGGCATTGTGAGCTTGTGGACATCAACAATCACAGCCATGTTTCCTGTTCCTGTATACTTTGCACAAACTCCTTGTTGACTCCAGATGATATAATATGTGTACCAGGTCAAGTCAGTGGGGGGGGGGGGGGGGGGGGGGGGGTTAAAGTTTAATTTTACCTGTTAAAGTAAAGTTAGTCTTTCATGAAAATTTTGTTATTCTTTTTTTGGGATTGTACAGAATGCCCGTATGTACCTTGTGGATGAGAGGTATGGTTTACTTCTCAGTAATGTTGAAAAGTATTCAGTTTATTATACCTTGGTATTGTTGCATTCCTTGTTTGTTTCATGGTGCACGACTTATTAAACTGCTCAATCAAAAGGACACATAATTTTTGGCTGTTATTTTTGCTGTTGCGTCCTTCTTTAGCATAAATTTACCTTGGGGTCCGCTTATTCTGAAATCTGCGGAACTGCTGAATTTTTTTCTGTTTAGCTGAGTTTTCAGTTTTGAATGTTTGTTTTAATACCAACATTAATTTTGTTGACTTAAATTTGTGCCTATCCCAGGTCTAGAGGAAACCTATTCTAGGGGACATGTCTACCAAAATGGAGATTTTTCAATTTCCTTAACTTCCACCAGGGGACGCAGCTTGTGTTAAAACATCAGAGCTGTAGCTTGAAAAATTACTGAGTTACAGCCCAAAGAAAAATTATCCTATCCCCTACTTTAGAAAACATTTTGAGAAAAAAGTATTATATCATCATCATCATCATTGCCTTTCTCACCTGTCTCTATCCTGGGCTAGCCTCTTGGTGTTATTCCATATCTTCCCTCTTTTCTGTACATCAATTTCTGTGCTTCTTCTCCAGGTTCCTCGCGGTCTACCCCTTGATCTTTTGCCATGTGGATTCCAATCCAACACTTTCTTTGTTATGCAGCTGCTTGACTTCCTGAAAGTGTGTCCAATCCATCGCCACTGCCTTCTTGCTACCTCATCTCTTAATGGGGTCTGTCTTGTTTTCCTAACACTTCCTCGTTTGTGACCAAACTCAAAGTATTATATGTGGCAGTTAAATTACTTTTCCCATTTTAAAAAAGTTGCTACCAGTGGTAGAAAAAGAAGAATTGGTAAGTTAAAATACTTTTCTTCTCGAATGGCTCTGCCAAAAACAAACGGAAATATTTTAAGTACCGTTTTAGAATAGTTTTTCCTCTCACTTGTTCAGAACTACATGTGAGTTTTGGATCCAAGAATTGCGTTCTGTTGAAATGAGAAAGTTTTTTTCCTTCTGTAAAATTTGCAAAACGTGACTAAGAATAGTTTTCCTCTAGACCCGCGATATATTCCTCTTTAGGTAACTGTAATTTAAGCTGCTGGCTGTACCGGTACGCACCGTGCTTTCTCTAACACGCTATCATCCGTCTAACAGTCACACAAAACAGACAGATGAGTACGGTAGATGGGGAAGTAAGAAAGAAAGCTCAATGCCAGTACCAACATGAAACACACCAAATGCTGTCACGCGCTTATGTGTAGTGCAGGACCCATGTAAACTACCTTTGTAGAGGCAATAGGTCATGAGCAACTGAAGATGGCATGACTGACGTACATTCGCTATCCTCTTGTCACTAGGCATATATATGTGTCGGCCTTTTGGTGTGAAATCAGGCGCACATCATTTTTTGGGACTTGTTTGGGTATTCTTTTGTCTAATTTATTTTGGATGGTTAACACATCCATTTGAAAACACACAAAAATCTGTTTAGATTTTAATAAATAACATTGATCAAAGTCAAAGGCACAAAAAATGTAAATTTGCAATTCCAAGGAAATGAAGCTTTGTTGGAATTCATCAAACTTTGTCATCTATTTTCTTGCTAATTTGATGTATGACTCAGTATGACACCAGGTGGACCCCCCCCCCCCCCCCCCCCACCTCCTACTATCGCAAATATCTCAACTTCTATTCAATAGAGATGGGTGTCTTTTTCATCAAAAGCAAGAAAAATGAACAAATGAAGGTTATACCAGTAACTCCATATCCCCAAAAACTGACAAGCACTTGATACCTCTATCATTGTAGGCCTACTTCCTTTGCACCAACAGCAGGGCCTTAAGAAAATTAAGTGCATACCAATGCGAAGAAAAATGTGTACAATGCCAGGTTTCATTTATAGTGGCAACTCACTTCACCCATGGCATACAGTACAGTAGTACTAAGAGTGCTCTGTAGAGCTAGAAGTGATATGTTCAAATACACTGGCATACACACATGCTGGCGCACACACGCATACACTGGCATCTGTGGTGTAGAGGCTACACGTTTGATTCCCCAATGGGAGATTTTTTATCAAGTATTTTGGTCTATCTGTTGGAATGAATACCTCTCAGTCCAGGTTGGCCCTGACAGGCAGGGTCAAAGTGGAAGTCGGCCTCTTAAATTATGATCTAAACTAAACTGTATTGATGTGGGAGTAAAAGCATCCGACATGAACAAAAAAACAAGCACATGCTCGTGTGGTGACTACATATGGAATGTCTACAGTGGAACTCGGATTCAACGAAAGAGACGGATTCCCTGGGTTTATTTCATAATAGCTTGGATTCAACTAGCACATAAATAAATGAGCGAACTCGAATTCAACAAGGTGGCGTGCAGGGGGAACAACACCCCACTAATGTAATGGCTAAATTGCGCCTTTTTCTCTCACAACGAACTTGATCTACTCTATTATAAGAAGAGACAATAGGTTGCACATGAACTGTGGATCATTACACACGCTTAGTGCGGCTTAGCCTAGCCTATTGCCTTCAACTTACGCGACCAACCAGAAGCCTTCTTTCAGATCGACACGTGTGATGTTGACACGCGCGTAAAAAATCATGTGTCGTTAACCCTTTCCCCGGCAACTGGGTGTAACACAACCAGGGACCCCGTTTCGGTAGATATTTCTAACTATACAAGATACAATGCTAAGATTTTATGTAATTCTCAAAATAGTTAAAATAAATATAAATGTGTTCAGCTCTCAAAATATTTTTTTTTTCAAAACAAACTGTACCGTATCACTTACGATCATTTGAATACTTACGATCATTTGAATTTTTTTTTAACGGTAACTGTCCCTGGCGACCTGCTGATGACACACCCTACACTTAATAGTGTCAAAAAGTGTCTTTCTCAAAAGAGTAAAGAGTATAACCTTACTTGGTTTTTTAAAAATGTAGATCTATACCATTCATGTATTTTAACTGAAGAATGAATAAAACTTTAACAAATATTGATTTTGGTGGCCCAATGGTAGTGGTAGTATTGCAGCAAGATTGTCTAACTTGCACACACACACGTAGGAACGCACGGGTGTCTGATGGGGATCATTTTATGAAGCTTAGAAAATAGATTACTTTCTTGTAAGAATTTGACCAGATTCAGATCAGTTAAGAATTTGTCTTGCCACATTTGACATTGTGATCAGTACCATGAAAGTCTTGAGAACTGGAAAAAGAAGTCACGACGTGAGAAGTAAGAACCAAGAGCAATTGACCTTTTGGCTGGTCGGTTAGCCGTATGGAAAGAATGCCTCTCAGACAGAGGATAGTATTGCGCCAGAATTGCATGCTAGGAACAAGGTTTTTTGATCCCGTAATTTATGGAGTTTTCTGGGAAGTACAGCAAAATTTGAAGCGCCCTAAGAACTAAACATGTTGCTCGTCGTCCGTTGTGATGTCTTATACTGGAACAAAACCTTGCTCTGGTGTGGTTTGCTTCTTCTTTCCTGTTAAACATGTACATGTATTCTGCCGTCAGCTGACAAAACGCCTTTTTTTTGTCCAGAGCAGTTTCGAGAAATCAACGATTTTCGGTTTTCTTACAATATCTCAACTACTTTGCACAGTACATCAATGTTTGAACTTGCACCCTAATCAGAAT